AACTATTCATCTTCCTCATAGAACAATTCTATAGTGTTTTCCAAATATAATGTTCCTCTTGTAAACTAATACCTTGCTTCTAAACTCAATTTTCTCATGGAAATTGGGAGAACCAAAAAGGTTCTTCAGTTCCGAACTTTGGAACTTTGGGAAAGTTTAGAACTGAAGAATCTTCTTGGATGAGAAGCAAATCATCTTCAAGGAAAAACGAAGTCCAGTTGCCTTTTGAAAAAACACCTTTGGGACAACCATGACCTGGATGACTGAGAATCTTCATAGACATCCATATAATATGCTTTAACTAAATAGTACTAAATCACTGGATAGAATATGGACAAAGACCTTTTTATTCTCTATATCTTTGACATAGGCTACCTCACAGATTTAAGAAATAAATAAGGTAATACTCTGACAATTTTGCCTAAAAATAAAGATTTAAAACCAACAACATGTAGCATCAGACCCATGGCTATAAACACGCTGGTCTAATTATACAGGAAATTTATATAAAAGCCAACCACTTCATTCTCAGAAAAGTGTGGAAGAAAATTCCTAAGGATTTCTTTCATGAACTCTTATACTGTAAATGATGCTAGCTAGCTCATAAATCCAAATTATTCTCTGATTGAACATCACTCTCTTTACCATCCTCAATATTGTTTGCTCTGATTGGCCACAACTCTGAGTTTGGATATGAATTTGGAGCATTTACCAATCCTCCTCATAAATGCCAGACATTAAACATAGGATTTTTGCATGCAAAAATGTGCTATACAAATGAGCATCTGTCTCTTTTGGCTTCAGCATCTGTCCACTACCTGATTTGCAACCAAAGATCCAATTGTACGTATGATTGGAGAAGAAGACTCTCATTGGCCTTTAGCAATAAGATTGCTGGCTAGGGCAATCCCTGGTTTTCCAAATGCTGATGAAATACATTTCATGGCCAGTAACCTTGGACAAATCGGTTAGTTCTCCACATTGGGCCAGAGCTCGTAGTAATAAAAAACTGATAATTTTGCTTCCTCTATCGGTAATATTCTGGATTCCACCCAAATGTTTAAGCCTTGACTATTTGTTTTCATACTTCCTCTGCTTGCCAATGTTTATATGAGTCATAATCTTTCTTTTGCTGTTAAAACAAAATAATTTAGAGTTAAAACATCAAAAGAACAGGCTAAGTAGGAACCAAACATTCAAAAAAGCCAAAGTAAAGGCTTACAATCCACATGGGGTAGTCAATATTAGAAATCCATTTCTATTTGAAGAAAAACATCAACTGCAGAGTTTAGCTAATGAATTTATGGATTGTCCCCTGTTGTACTTCCCATTTCGTGCCACCATGATATCACAGCACTGAGGGCAGTAGTGAAATTCAATTTTTTTTACTACTGGTTCTGTGGGAGTGCCTTAGTGGGCGTGGCAGGGGAAGGATACTACAAAATCCCCATTACCTCCCCACTCCTGGGGGAAGGATATTGCAAAATCTCCATTCCCACTCCACACTGGGGCCAGCCAGAGGTGGCATTTGCTGGTTTTCCAAACTACTCAAAATTTCCGCTACCAGTTCTCCAGAACCTGCTGGATTTCACCCGTAACTAAGAGCTACATGGATGGCTCTCAGCAGATGTTCAGTTCTGTTTTTAAATGTAGAAAAAGAGACAATGCTAAAAGACCACCTCTCCCCATAGATCAAAAAGTTTAAGAAGCCAAGCAGGAAAGTGCTTGCCTTGGGTCAGTGCAATTATACTATTAACCAGTCCAAACTAAGTGTGGGCTGGGTTAAGAAAGAAGCCTCAACTGCAACATCCATTGTTCTTCAGGGAAAGCTTTCTGCACAGATAGGCTGTGTCCTGCTCAAAAAGCCTTTGGGACCAACCTCTATTAATTTCTGCAATACTGCAATGCTCCTCTTGGTTAATACTTGCCCCTTTATAGCTAATTTTATGCTTCCCAGATGCCTAAATCCAGATTTCAAAAACAATAGCATGATTATGCCTTTACAGGGCTCATTTACAGTTCTTGGCCAGAGGACACAAAAACAGGATGAAAAGTTGTAAGAGTTGTAAGTTGTCTCTTCCCCATCCAGTTTCCTATTATAAAGGAGAATTGGCACTGCCCAGTCTTCTAGCTATTTCCCTTGAGAACATAATTTTCCAATGGAATTTCCTGCTCTTTGGAGCTGCAAATATAAAATGCATAACTGGGAGGCTAAGAATCCTGAAAAAACGACCTCCCCACCCCCACTTAAAACACATCTCAAAGTTCAGGAACCACAGTCCAATTTACAGCTTGCAACAGCCATGAACCATCTCCATTTGTAGCTCTGAAAACTGACGTTTATACTTGTGTATTTCAGACCTGAGCAGTGCTGACCAAGGCTATCGACCTCCTAAAGGAAAGCTAATTAACATATCATAAATAGCACATCTCTTCCAAAATATATAAGTCTCCTGTATTGATCTAAACTGAAGCAGTTCATGCAGGGGTGAGCTGCTGGGGGTTCACACGGATTTGGGCAATCTTCTAGCTAGGATTCTGCCCAGTTCAGGGAACTCCCAAATGCTAGCCCTGACTGGCCATACCTACCCCACCCCTCCCACCCTACCCCGCCCTGCCCTGCCCTTCCCCTCCCAGGAGTCTCCACGTAGTCCGTTCATCATGACAGGTAAGTGCAGGGTCCACCACGGGCCCACCTAGGGCTCAGGGAGGGGGGAAAACAGGCCTATCAGAGATTTAGTCTGGAAATGTGCCTGTTTCCAGCCTCCAGAGGACCTCCGGAGCCCGGGGGGAAGCAGTTTTTGCCCTCCTGGAGAGTCAAGGAAAGCCTCCGGAGCCTGGGGAGAAAGAAAAATGCCCCCCCCCCGTGGTACAGGAGGCTGACTAGGCACACCCACCATGACCACGCCTACCCAGCAACAGGGCAGCAAACCTGTTGCTGCAATTTTTGAAGCCCACACCTCAGTTCATGTACATGATATTTAGTGATTTGCCTAGAGCCTTTTAAAGGAATTCAACAGAATTTCTGCCTTGCAGTAACTATGACAACTTGTATGACCAGGTTAAGATGGATTAGAAACCTGCAGCCCACTCCATTAACCAATTAACTATCATGGCTACTTTTGATAATGTAGCTATCTATCTTATTCTCATGACTGACTTTAGTACTAGTGATCTCTTTGGAACTTAGTTACAGTTTTTCTGGCTTACAAGAGGATATAGTAAAAAAAGATGGAACATTTCCAAGCATGATCAGTTTAATTTGTGTACTTTTTCAACTTTGTTTGTGCAGTCCATAATTCAGTCCAGCTACTTCCCCAGGAGGTGAATGCCTACATGAGTTCACATAATTGTTTATATCCTTCTCATATTTCAGTCTCATTTATCTATCTTGCTTTCTCCCTTTTTTTTTTACTTGTAAGGGAAATGTGTCCGCCCTTCCCTTCAGCAACATTTCTTAATTTCTCACAAAATCACATGAGTCAGATTCAATTCCACTTGTAAAAGCAAGGCACAAAGTACATATGTTGCAGGAAAACAGTTCTTCTTTTGGAAAGCACTTGGCCTCAATCTATCAAGAATAGACCTGCTGTCCCTCAAAAATTGAATGATTACAAGATATATCTCATGCATGTAGTTTGATGCGACTGTCTTCCACTGCAATGGACAAAGATCCAGTAAAAGTAATGTCCAGGGTCTGAGCAAATCTGAGGACTTGTGGAGTAATCCTGGAGAATGTCATCTTTCCCAACCCTCCAATCATTACAGGAACAAGTAATGAGAGATCATTTGGTCCAAAGAAATGCTAAATCAGTAATGTCCTTTGGAGAGGCATGTCCCTAAAGAAGCACAAATTCAGCATATACAGTATACTTAAAATTCAATCAATCATTCAATAAACCTGCACAGTAATGTTAACAGTGAGATGAGTAGCATATAAATTTAATAAAGAAATAAAGATTAATCTGTCACTGAAAAAAATGGCATTTATTGAATGGGGTGTATGTCTGTTAGACATATTTAGGACTGTGCTATAGGAAAATCTAATGTGCTCAAACTTACATTGGGGGCCAATTTGTTTTTATTTATTTAAGGACAACAAATACAACAAACAGTAGGACTTGCTTCCAAGGAAATACATGAATACGTATTGCTAGACAGCTCTGCAGAACAGTTCTGCACATACTAACTCAGGAGTAAATAATTCTAAATTAAGAGAACTTCCAGGTAAAGTACAGATTGCAGTTACTTAAATCCTTTAAAATCACCTTTAGGTTTAGAAAAAATTGGGGGTATTGGAAACTAAGATCCTAGTTTATAAGTATTTAAATGTTTGTTTAGTTCCTCCCTTCTGAACTTCAGTTTCTTGTTACAAAGGAAACTACAAAGTTTAAGAAATGAAAAGCCTGGGTATTCTTTTGCTTGGTGAGAAAGCAAACATCACAAGATTTTTTTCCAAATATCATTGTTTTATAGAGAAACAAAACTTCATCACTGGCTATTCAAAGGAACTCTGAAACTCTTTCTTCTTTCAAACAAGATATATAGCATTGATACAACAACTTTAAATGTCATGCAAATAGAATTAATCAGTACCACTTAGACATTTCTTTCTTAAGAATGTAAAACTTATAGACTTGAAGTCTAGCTCTCCTTCTCCCATCTATTGAAGTTATTATTATGAATCAGTATCAAGCAAATAAATCTTGTTTTTGTGTGGGGTTCATAAGCATAAGACTGACATACACACAAAAACAAAACAAGGGGAGGGGGGAATCCTTAAATACCATGGATACAGTTTCAGCTTTTTAATCACAAACTTCACATGCAAGACTTTCTGGTTGTCAGAAGTTTTATGAGTCAGAAAATCAGCCTTTCAAAGAGTCAGACATGAGACCCTGCAAAGTAGAGAGAGAAGCATCCCATTTGACTGGTGGTGAAAGAAAGAGTGCTTGCTAAGATGAGGTTATTCCCAAAGAAGACACTTGGTCCAGGCTTACCTGTTGACACCTGCCCTCCTGCTGCCTTTGCGTGTTTTAATTTCCAGGCTCTTCCTCCCCCCCACTTTTCTCCTCCTCCTCCTTCTTCCTCCTCCTCACTCTGATCCGGTCCTGATACAAATGTGAGCCTCTTCCAAGCTGTGTGTGTTTTCTCTCGTTTTGTTCCTCGGAGATTCTCTTAGGGAGGGCGGGTGGGAGCGAGGGAAGGAGGAGAAAATCATAACAATAACGTCTTTCTTTGGCAGCCAAACTCCTCAGCGTTTAAACTACATGTGTGTCCTCCTGCTTGCCTGTGGAGAGAATCATATGGAAAAAACGGTTCCTTCTGCTCAGGCAAGAGGGCTCCCTACTAGTATTAAGCAAAGCATATGTGCCCATGCACATCTGTACATACATACCCACACTTATATATTTACTTTGCACTTTACATTTCTTATTAGCAGGGTAACCTCTCCTGACTTTACAGTAAAACAATATATGGTATAAAATAGACTGAAGGACATATGAAGCCAACTTACTTGGCAGGATTTGTGGATTTGGGCATGAATGGTAGCAGGTAGCAAGGTTCTTATTTTTCTAAATGCAATTGCTTTATTACCCTGTTCTTCTTTTATGCTATGATGATAGTGCCAACTCAGTCATTTAAAGCCACCCATAACTTCCCCCCAATTTTTTTTTGGCAGTTTAAGAATAAATATGTGTACCCTACAGTCTAAGTATAGTGGCTGCCAATACTTCTTGATAAAAGAGACAGAAAGCATAATGCAATGCATGTATTGCTTTTCTTTAAAGCTCTCTAAACTGGAATAAATGAAATTTTCTCACCAAATTACACGTTTATTTTCAAGATCTTGAATTCAAATCAATACCTGTTATGATCAAAAGGGAAATTAGTCCAGAAAAAACAAACCACAATCATGGACACAAGTATTTTGCATCATTTCATCATAACTTTGTCCTATTCTTGAAAGTAAGTTCCATTGAGTTTAATCCTAATAATGTTTATGTGGGAATGCATCTATTGACATAGAACCTAACTTCTGCCTAAACACATTTAGGATTGTACAGTAAAGATAAAAGTTAACAAAAAACAAATTGTAAGCTTACATTAAATGTTAACATATTCCATACCATAGTCCGTAAACAATTTATTATATTTTAAACTATTTAATTGTTACTTATAAGATATTTTCAACAAGGTATTTTTATTTTATAATACTTATATTTCATTCATTCATTTATTTCATCCAACTGAAAAAGAAATGGCAGCTTGGGATATGGGTATGTGCCTAAAACACAAATAGTCAAGTGATTTTTCTTTCTTTCTCAAAAGTCTCTTGCAGTTTTGCAAAGATTTCAGGTTGATGTCAGATTTATGAAAATGTTTGCTTCAGCCTGATAGACTTCAAAGAGTTGTATCTAAATCTATACAATTTAAAGTAATAGAAGATGAATTATGAAACACCGAGCTATAAGATTTAATTATACAGTACAGTTTGAAATTAGAGAACAAGAATATAAACAATTTTATAAGTTATGGGATTTATTTTAGCAATGGTTAGATAAAAAAATATGGACATGAAATATGACTGAAAATTTTACAATACAAGGACAATGGAATGACAGAATATACAGGGCG